TAGGAGGACCTTGCAAGTCCTCCAGCTGTCTCATCGCCTCCCCCCCCCCACTCTGGGACCACCACCTCCTTGCTCGTGTCTGCAGCAGCCCCTGGCACTTCTCGGCCACCCTCTGAGCCTCACCTCCTTAGCTTCTGGAAAGGCTCCAAGTGTCAGATTCTGCGCATAGCCTCGTGGGGGCAGAGTAAGAATTATTACCAATACCAACCTGTTGTATTTCTTATGACAGAGATGGATTGATTGACTGTAGGGATTAAACTTTCCTGAAAGTGATTTTGAGACTCTTAGTCTGGAACTGCTTTTCCCAGTAGCTGAATAGGAGATGGAAAAAGACTCACAATTCTCCAAAGCCCATTTAGAAGCGACCTGGATAAGTTAGGCAGCTGTTTTTATTTCAAATTGCAGACCGAAACAGGAAATAAAATCTGGGGGAAACAGGAGAGCTTCTTGACTTTGCCACTGATGCAATGTGACGTTGTCCAATCAGCCATAAGTAGACACAGCCTGTTCAGGGCCACTTGCTCAGCCAGATGTGTGTGCTGGGGGAGTGTGGGCCGCGGAAAGGGGAGGCGAAGAAACGTACCGTTTCCCACAGCTCGGTACTCGAGATCGTCGCATAATGCTCTAAAACTTCAAAAGCGGTTCTGTTACGTATTGTATTTTGCTCTTTGTTTCACATTCCACATCACTTTCTGTAGATGACAGTTGTTCCTCCTTATGGAAAACAAAAAAGGAGTGAATTTATGAACATCATTGGATAGATGAAATCAATGACGCCTTTAAAATACTGGAATTCAAACTGACTTTAAAGAAGGAGCATACGGAAGTCAGACATGTATTGAGAAGGAACAAGTTAAATGTGATAAAGGCACAATACAGCCGTGTGCGTGCGTGCAGACCAGCAGCCCCCCAGCGTGATCAGCCAGGAAAGCTTCCTGTGGTGCAGGGGCAGGCTGCCTGGGCGAGCCCGGGAAACTGGGGTGATGTCCGCAGCGCCTGCCCGGGTATATCAGCGGCCCAGCTCCCCAGTGACCGAGGTCTTGCTGGAAGATTTTGCTTAGTTCTGAAGAGTTTAATGAAGAGCTTCCGGACAGCGGCCAACATCACTCAAGGATGCTACGTGTTCTGCCTCACAGCTTTTTTCGAGTCATGGACCACCACCCCCTTGCTACAGGTGAAAATGACTTTAATCCCAAGGCCTGTGTTTTTGTCTCATCTTCCATTTCCTTGCAGCATTTAGCAGAGTGACTTGCATTTTCTAGGAGATGTAGAAATGTAGTTTTCGTTAGGCACTCTGTGACTTGATAATTTGTCCATCTATATATAAACTCACAATTGGCACACTTTTTTTGCGTATTTATTACAATTCAGTAGAAAATGCTTCTTTAGAAAAAGCCGCACAGAGAGTAACCCTTTCTTGATGTAAATTTACTACATTTCATTCCTAGAGGAAAGACGGTGTGATGATTTAATTCGTTTCCTTCCCTTCAGTAAATGAATGAATGAATGCATCAGAAGGAAGAAAAATTCTGTACAAAGAGATGGTTTTATCAAATGTTTGTGCTCCTCTTTGTCCTTTGAACCCCATTTTCTTAGGAAAATCCAGACCAGGGAAGGAAGTTTTAAGATGCTCAGTGTAAAAATAATGATCACCTTATATTTGAATAAAGAGAAATAAACAGAAAGATGAGACATTTAAATATTGGAAATATTTAGTTTGGAGAATAAACCAAAAAGAACGGGTTTCAAGTGTCTATCCATTTAATTTATATCATATTTTGCATTCTCTTCTCTTTCATATGTATCTGAATTCTGAAGTTGAGCATAAGTATCTAAAGAGCTAACATGTGTTATGTACATTTCCCATGAAACAGAGGTCTATCAGGCCTTTTTAAGCTGCAGAAACTGAGGTAAAATTCACTTGAAAAAACCAGAAGTTTGTTATTTCATGTGAGTGGAAGTGTAGGACTAATTGGCTTCAGGCGTGGCTGGACCCAGCAGTTGTAGAGGCGTGGTCCTCTACTGTGGGGGCCTGGAGGTGACACATCTCTTCTTTTCATATTTAACTGGATGTGACTAATCCCATGGTCTTCCTCAAGAGCAGTGGAGCTGAGAAGTGCAGTCTCACATAAACCTGGAAAGGGAGAAACTGAATATTTGGTGAATACTCATAACGCCTGTTACTTACTTTTAAAAATCCATTATGAGAGACGAGATCTTGGATTCAGGCAAGATGCAGAAATGGAATCAAGGTGCTTGTAAAAGCCAGGACCCTTGAAGGACTTCATCAGTGGGAGAGTCAGCAATACAAACTCCTCCGCCAAAGGGATGCCTTAGTCAGCTTCTGCTAGGTTAAGCTGCTATAACAAGTTCCTTCCTCCCCCAACCCCCATTTTAAGGTGGGAAAAAAAATACCTTAAAAACAAACCAGAAGATGCCAAACAAGTGGAGTAAAAAGAAGCATGGGCATAGAAAACAAATGGAAAGTATAAAATAAAATGTTAAAAGTAAGTCTGTATAGATCAGTAATAACAATAAATGTAAATGAACTAAACTCGCCAGTTAAAAATTAGAGACTGCCAAATTGGATTTTAAAATAATTCAATTATGTGCTGTCGTCAAGAGATGCTCCTAAATCACAGGACAGAGGAAGATTGCAAATGATCTAGCAGGCCAGTAAAAAGCAAAGAATGTTGGCTTATCTATAGTAATACCAGACAAATCACAACTTAAAGGAAAAAAAGTACTGTAAGACCCATCATGTAACATTCAAATAAAGCAAAAAAACACAGTTTATTATTTAAGGACACAAGCCATAAATGTATAAAGAAATGACTAACAGACAACACAGTTTCCCTAGAGATGGTGGGAGTGGGTAGAGGTTGTGATTGGGGGAACATATTAAAGTCTATAAAAGTGGCTTCAACTTTATTGATAATTTTTTACTATTCTAAGCTGGGTGGTAGGTACATGGATATTTGATATAATTTTATCGTGTATGTTCCAGGTTAAAAATAGTTCATAACAATAAAAACCCACTCTGTCTCATATTACTAATCACTGTCAATGCAGCTGAGCTGTCCAACGCAGGACACCATGGACGTGCAGGGCTCAGAGAGCTGGAAGATCAGCAACCCCGATGGGCAGGACAGTTCCATGGGGTTTTGAGGCGTCCTCTCAGGGAAGGTGAGGGCATTCTGGATGTAGCAAGATACTCAGGCAAGCAAGTTACCTCAACGCAGTTTCATCCTGTGGGAAATGTGTGACCTTACACGGTCACATCGTCAGTTCCTTGCAAGGGAACAGTGAGTATTACATGAAACGATGAATGCAGGTAAAGCATGTGGTACATGGCAGGTGTACAGTCAACTCTATCAAAATATTCCTGGAAACGGACTCTTGAGACTAAATGAACCAGGTCAGGAAAGAACTAGTGAGAGAAACGAGAGAGAACGACGAGCACTACTTGCTTCCCGAACTCCCAGAGGCAAAGATGGTCCTGCCTGCCTCGCGGTACTTCCACCTGGTCTCCCAGGCCACTCACCTGTGCCTCCCACATCCTTTCAGACGCTGCGTCTGGCGTACGTGCACACTCACGCATCCTTTGGAGAATGCTGGAAACATACTGGAGGTTTTGAGAGCCGGTGTAGACATCATATAAACACCTACCTAAAATAAATGAATCAACTCTGGCTCTCTAGTTGGAAACCAGCAAGGTTATCAACAACGATAGCGGTGACTGACCCGACTATTCTTAGCTCAGTATCTTGTTGGCAGATGCATGTTTTGCCAGTGATGACATGAAACGTGTTCTCGTCACTTTGAAAATATTTCACGTCAGTACTTCCTTTCCTGTCACCCAGATGAGTGATGTAATACAAAACTGATCCAAAGTTGGATGCTGTTAACAGGACACCTTCCCCTTTCAGTTCAGGCAGGATTATAAAGAAAACCCAAACAAGCCATTCATTTTCCTTTCCTGCTGATTTGCTCCCTAGCGATGGGCAGGGTGACGGCGGGGATTTGGGATTTCACAAACTCTGGGTCCCAGAGCCCGTCACTGATGTGCTGGGGTTTGTTATGGGGGCAGGGATCGCTCTCACTGACAGCCTCCCCAGGAGGGAGAAAGATGCACCGTGCTGACTGCTAAGGGGGCCGGCGCACCCCTGCGCCTCCGCGCCACGCGCGCCGTGGAGCGCCTGGGCTTCCCTCGCCGCTGGCGGGCGCAGCAACCCGAGCGCGGCCTTCGCTGGACGAGGGCAGGTCCGCACCTTGCAGAGCGAGCGGGGCTGATTCCAGCAAGGAGGTGGGCGGCGACCCACCATTAGGATTCGTCCAGTGTCAGCGCTCGGTGACTTCCGGGGACAGGGGAGGCCCCGGGCGCGCGGGTTTCAGCGGGGGCTGTGTCCTCAGTACGAGTCAGTTGCAACAGAGAGGCCTCGGGCACCCGCCTGCCAACCGCCGGGAAAGTACAGCAAGAGCGCTCGTCCTTTGAAGACTTGGAACCCCTTCAACAACAGGGAGCCCTCTCCACGCACCGCGCGGCGAGCTGCGCGCACCAAGCAGAGCCCGGGTTGCGCCGCGGGGAGGGCTCAGCTCGGAGCAACAGGTGCGGCGCGCAGCCACTCCCGGAGCGAGGGGACCCGCCGCGGGCATCTGGAGCCGCCGGTAAGGCGCAGAGACGGCTCCCTCCACCTCCAGGGCTGCGCGGGCAGGTCCCCGCTCCCCGGCTCGGTGGCCTCGCGGCAAGCGTCGGCGCCCGGGCAGGGGGACCGCTGCGCTCTGGGGCCCGTCGCCTTCGCCCGCGAAGGGCCAGCTCGAGGCTCCCGCCCGCGTCCTCTCTTAGGAGGCCCCGCGCAAGGACGGTGCCACTAGGCACGGCCACCGGGCGCCTGCCCGTCCGGGAGGCTCGGGTTCAGGAGCTGGCGCTTCGTGCTCGGGGCCGGCCCCCCGGCGACCCCCCGGCATCCTCTGTCCCAGGCGGGCGCTCCTCGCGAGCACGTCCCGGGCGCCCCCGCGGGCCATGGAGCTGGCGGCCGGCAATCTCAGCGCGGGGAACGCGAGCGGGCCCGAGCCGCCCGCCCCGGAGCCGGCGCCGCCGCTCCTCGGCATCGGCGTGGAGAACCTCGTCACCCTGGCGGCGTTCGGCCTGATCTTCGCGCTCGGCGTGCTGGGCAACAGCCTGGTGATCACGGTGCTGGCGCGCAGCAAGCCGGGCAAGCCGCGCAGCACCACCAACCTGTTCATCCTCAACCTGAGCGTCGCCGACCTGGCCTACCTGCTGTTCTGCATCCCCTTCCAGGCCACGGTGTACGCGCTGCCCACCTGGGTGCTGGGCGCCTTCGTCTGCAAGTTCATCCACTACTTCTTCACCGTGTCCATGCTGGTCAGCATCTTCACGCTGGCCGCGATGTCGGTGGACCGCTACGTGGCCATCGTGCACTCGCGGCGCGCGTCCTCCCTGCGGGTGTCCCGCAACGCGCTGCTGGGCGTGGGCTGCATCTGGGCGCTGTCCATCGCCATGGCCTCGCCCGTGGCGTACCACCAGCGCCTGTTCCACCGGGACGTCAGCAACCAGACCTTCTGCTGGGAGGAGTGGCCCAACCAGCGCCACAAAAAAGCCTACGTGGTGTGCACGTTCGTCTTCGGCTATGTGCTGCCGCTTCTGCTCATCTGCTTCTGCTACGCCAAGGTGGGCGCGGGGCGCGGGAAGGCGGGCGGGCGGCGGGCCCGAGGGGCCCCGTGGCATCCCCGTGTGTCCCCACCTCCCTCTCTGAGCCCCGCAGCAGCCCCAGCCCTTGCCGTCGCCCCTGTCTCTTTCTGGGCTGATTTGCGCTAAGAAAGGTCCCCTGCAGCGTGCCATCGCCTGTAGGCTTCAGACTGAGGGTTTGATGTTGCCCAGAAAGTTGCCTGGAGTTTGGTGGACGCTGGGAAAGTTTGCAGGTCCCCTCGCGGACGTCCCGCCTCCCCTCCCCCTGCTGGCCACCGCAGCCTCAGCCCGAGGTTGTCCTGGCAGGATGCAGCCAGGAGAGCCCCCCTCAGTTTTAGCGGCTTTCACCCCGGTCAGTCTGAGGCGTGACTGCAGAGTCTCAGGGAGGCTCTGTCACGCTGAGCGCGCGGGCCCTTTGCCAGGGTGGCTGGTCCCCCATCGCCTTCTGCCCAGCACGCAGCTGGGATTTGAGGGGGGTGACTCCCGGGAGGTCCCTTTTCCTGCGAGGCACGCAGGGGGCTCTGTGAAGCCACTGCTCCTGGTGACACAGCTTCCCATTTTATTTTACACGCAAAGTTTAGCTTTATAAACCCAGTGGTAAAAGAATTTCTTCTGTCTTGGCCAGAGTCTGCAGAGAACGTTGGATGGATGGGTTTGCCCTTTAAGTCCTCATTAGGGAGGTTGTGTAAACAGTGTAAGTGACTCAGGTGGCACGTCTGAACCCCGGACCCTGGAGACACTCTGGGTTAACACACCCGGCCCAGCCTCCCTGGACCTACTTACTGAGAAATTGTTCTCACTCTCGCTTTGCGTAGCCGGGCAGAGCTCAGCAAACTCATGTCATCTCTCATGGATAGCACATGGGTTTGAAGATTTTGTACTGATCAAAAGGTCTTAAACCATCACACAACTTGTTTATATTGAGTAATAAAGAGCATATGCCTAACAATCACGTGATCGTGACCCGTGGGTTCCCCAACATTCTCTCTGGGAGTACCCTCATATCAGGAAGACACCCTTGTGACCACATTCTGTCTGAAATTTGCACTGTTTTATCGTCACCTCTCTGTCACTCATTCTGTTTCTGATAAGCCTGTGACTTTGAGGCCATGAAAAGCTAGTGAAGGTAGAACAGTAGTTTCTTACATTCAATTTGGAAAGTGTTTTTCCCAGCAAAAATGTTTACTGTAAGCTCCCTGGCATTTGCACTACCCCCAGCGTGTGGCATCTACGCAGTTATAGCTGTGCTGAATGCTAGTAGTTTTGGATATTAGCTGAAAGGATGGCCTATGTCCAGGGGATAGAGAATGTGGAAAATAACTCTCACTTAGCTCTGTGGCGAACGGCTGGTCTGTTCCCTTAGTCTTCTGCTGATGTGCAAGCTGCTTCTGCACAGCACGGTGTCTGGTGTGTGCATGGAAGCCCCACACGGGGGGCCCGGTCCCTGTTTTGCTGAGAAGAAAAAAGGCTGTGAAGGAGGGAAGCAACTGACTCAGATGAGGAAGCTGGTGGACAAATGGTTCAGGGTGGGTTTCACTGCAGGGGCGCACCGTCCTCTGAGGGAGGGGACAGTTGGTGAAGGCCTTGAAGGGACGTGGAGCTTGGAACAAGAGGGATCCTTAAAATCGGGGCCTCATAATTCACGGTTACATACATTAGAACTGAAGCATGCTTTCCTTCATTTGCCCAGAAGTCTTTCAGGCTTCCTCATGGAAATGACAAGGTAAACTTTTAGGAACAAATCAGGCTACATTTCTATCACTTGAGAATTTATAAAAGTCACTCAGAAAGCGAATTGTAAAACTGGTTTTTAGAAATCCAATAAATACATGATCACTGGGATATTTTCACATGGAAATAGTTTGCTTTTAAACATAACTGGAATTTCTTTGGAATTCAAGGTAATGTATACAAATCCATTTCAGGGTTTGAATCGATGGAGATAAAAAGTAATCTCAAGTTGCTTTTCTTTAGTTCAACCATGAAGCGTATGTGACATGCCCACCTGGCCAAGTTGCCCCAGATCCCCAGAGATTCTGATGGTCATGATGACCTTGGCCCAGGTGTGAGTGCGTGCTTCCTACGCACACTCCTGATGCATAGAACGGTGCAGAAATGCCACGTCATCACCATTGCCTTCTAAAGAAACGCAGTCCTTTCTTGACACTACTTTCTTTCTCCCTTTGATGACAGACCTCTGGGATGCATCATCATATATTAATATGTGTGCAGTGTGTGGGCTGTTAAATGAAACAGAGCTAAGAACAATACACTCGGGAGTTTTTTCCATTTACCACTCAACAGCACTCAGTAGGTGTTTTGAAGTGACTAGCTGTGACCCAACAGAGTTTGCTGAAGGAATGAAGAGACCCCAGGATAGCATGAGGGAGCAGGTGACATTTCACTTCCTCTCCAGGCGCCCCTCTCTGATTTTGTTTGGCTGCCTCTCTCTTGTTCTTTCTGCTGTCCCTTGTTCTCAATGACCAGTGTCCTATGTATGGTCTCCTGCTGCGAAGGCTGCCACCAAGGAACCGCACCATGCCTGTCCTCTCCAGGCAGGGTCTTGCTTCCAGCTCTCCCGTTCCCCTTTGAAAGACCTGCTCATTTGCTCCTGCTAAAGCTCCTCTTTTATCTTTGCCTTGCATCTAATTTTTGGTAACCCAATTTCTGTTGGCAAAACAGTAACCTAACCCATTGTCGGTGTATTGAGAGTGATCCCTAATCCTGCTGTAGCAAGTGAAAGTCTTGTCTCCTAGACAGTGCTAAGCCCCTTGGGAAGTGGGAAGTATTTAGTAAAGTTGGGAATTGGAGTCAGAAATCCCTTACCTGTGCAGGGCTCTTGAGGTTGGTAGACAGTCCTGTGGTTTCCCAGTTAGTATGCCCGACCCCCAAAAGGGCTGCATGGAGCAGGCTTTGCAATAAGCCCAATTCTATTAAATTATGTCCACGCTGCCATGCTGGATGGAAACAAAGATAGGTCTGGAATGGGGCTTCAAGTTCTTGGCGAGATTCGCTCAACAACTGGTGGACAATCCAAAGCCTTGGTCATCCAGAGGTAAATTTTCCTCCAGTTTTCACTCAGGTGGGATATAAAAGTGTATTGAGATATCAGTGCGCTATACATGCAGTCTTCTTGGCCTGTCGTAATTTCCTATGTTATATCACCCGATGTTCCACCTCATTTCAGAGAACACAAAAATAGTTTCTCTGATGAATGGAGCCGGTGTCTTTCTAGGAGACTCCCTGACAGGGACATTGATTGCCAAGCCTTGCTAAAGGGTCTATTGATCCTCAGTGAGGCTGAATTCCCCAAGTAAAGGTTGTCTCAGAGCACAGTTCAGTGGGTAGGGTCTGAAGAAAGAAAGAGGCCTGATGGGTGGAAATTTACTTTAGGAGACTTGTGGGACAGACATCCCCCAAAGGGGGAGCAGAAGGCTCATGCTGAAGCAAACGCCGGTCGTGGGAGAGCTATCTGGTTACAGCATCTTTATTTGCCCACCTGCCTCCTTTCCCCATCGGGTGGTGTGGTGGAGGGACGTGTCTAGCTTTACACATGCCCAGGATTTCACACCGTGTCCAGCACATGTAGGGACTTGGTGATTGTTAAGGTGTAGAATCTCGGGGGAAATGAAGATGAAAGGTGGACCAACAAGGGTGGGTAGCAGAGTGCCTGCTTCTGGATGAAAGTCCACAGGTGCCCGCCCCAGGACGCCCTGCAAAGAGAAGCGCTGACCACACACTGCCCCTGGGCACAGACGTGGTTGGCAATTCATTCTTGTTACTTTATCACCTTATGTGAACTTCGATTTGAATGATTTTGTAAAGAACGATATCACCATTTCAGAATGTCAAGAATTGTCAATGCAAAGTAGATGATGAATTGTGGGATATGAGGCAAACCGGCTTTATTAGTCTATGTTTTTCAGGTCCTTAATCATTTGCATAAAAAGTTGAAGAACATGTCCAAGAAGTCAGAAGCATCGAAGAAAAAGGTAATATTCACAGATTTATCTTATCTATGGCACTGTTTGCAGCTTAGGTTCCTTTTATTCTTAAATGTCCTCACATCTAGCCAATGCCTGTGAAGTTTCAGTTCCTTGATACTGGTGTTTGGAGTGACCTCTTCCCCTTAGGTGCAGGGTGGGGACGGGCAGCCAGCTCTGGAGGGCGATGCAGGGAACCACTTGGTGCATTAACGTTTAGGTGGAGGTTTGGGGAGGCGAGGAAACGTGTGCTTGGGTTCTGAGCCTCTTTAGGAGGCTCTAGGTTGGTTGGGACAGAGTGTAGGGTTGCTGACACCATAGTTTGCATGAAACTGTACTCATTGTATTTGCATCGCCAATGTGATTCCAGAAGGTCCTGGGTCAACTGTCTTTCTAGAGAACCTTGTGATGATCTCTCCTTTCAGCCCCAGGAGCCCACACGCTGTCCTCTTCTCTTCCTCCCAGACTTGAACTGGTGTCGGCCCGAAGGGAGACAATTATTAAAGATGGTTGGAGGCTTCAAGGGGAATACACCATCTGTAATTGTCTTTTTCATCACACGAATCCTGATTTAAACAAGCTCCTGCCGAGTCATGTTAACACAGCCCACAGGGTGATATTCATCAGTTCACGTTCTGAGGAAAAACCCATTTCACAAATCAGGATGGATTTAACTCCCTCTCAGATAGCATCTGCAGAATTTTGGATTTTTGAAAGCAGAGTGAGATTAGGGGGGAAGATAGTACAACCGGACATTGTAACCCACAAGTATTAGACATAATATCTTAAAATACCTTGTTTTTCCTTCTAAATATGCATTATGATGAATGATACATGATTTGCAGGAATTATAGCTTAACATATTAATTTTTTTAAATTCGACTTAAATAAAGCGCAGCTCTGTCTGGCTTTCTTCATTTATAAACAATGATGTGGCTGAAAACACACCAGTTGCCAGAGTCTAGGAGAAAAGATGTACAGAGTTGGTTAAAAAGCACACCATTTAGCTTGTATTTGGAATGCAGTCAGTTTTTAGGAAAACTGACTAAATACAAATGGTGCAACATAAACAACGCGACGTAGGTTTTATTTTCAGCCTCCAGATCCCTCTTCATTGCAGCTGACAAAGTGCGAGGTGGTGTGACAGCTGGTGTTTCCCGCCAGTTTTCAACAACAGGTAGTTTATGCTGGAGTTTTTCGTCCATCTCTTAGTTTTCCCCCTGAGCCACGCTTGCCATCTCCAAGAAAATGGTCACTAAAAGTAGTTAGGGATTGCTTACAGTGTCCCCTCAGACACCCGCCCCTGTCCCCTTGGACACCCGCCCCGCAGGACCGGTGACCTTGGGGCCCTGGGAGGAGCCGACAGCCACTGTGGTGGAGGAGGGAGGGGCTGGCTGAATTTCATGGAGGTGACGCCATTGATACGTGACACAGCTTACGATGGATGCAAAGGTGGCGTGCTGACCAAAAGGCATGGAATAAAGGGTTTCTTTAACATCAGCTGGGGCTTGTTTGTATGCTATGACTACTCTTAGTCCCTGCGTTTGAAAAGGGTTGGAGCGAAATCGTGGAAGTCCCAGAGAGGAACACTGTCAGTGGTGAAGAGAATGAAAATAAGTCTCATAAGAAAGGACCAGAAAAGCCTCTGGTTTGTTTTACAGTGAAAGGTGCAAAGATTAGTGATGAGTTTTATAGGTGTGTGTGTGCATATGTGTGTGCACATGCATGAACATATACATGTGTGCGCACGTGTGCTTCTTACCCTAGGAGAAGGTGTCAGCATTTGAAGGCAGGAAGCGGACTTTCTCTCGCATTCTGCCAGTCTCTGACTCTTAATGGCCACTGAGCAGATGTTGGGTCTCTCATATATTTTATTGTCTCCTTGTTTGCATAGAGCAAATAAAGTGTGGCGCTGGCGTGTGTGTACGCGTGTAAGAAAGAGACAGCAGCCAGGTGCAGGGGCGGGGTAAGGCGAGGGAACGGGAAAGGAGCGGCGAGGAGGCCGCAGAGGGGCCGGCGGAGGTGGGAGCAGGGGGCGTGGAGAGGAGAGAGCCAGTGGGCTGGGAGGTGCCTGATGGCACAGGGTGGGTAGCTCGCTGCCCTGGCCCAGCCCAGAACCTGCTGCTCTGCACAGACAGGGTCGGTGTTTGCTGGACGGTGGCTCCCTGTGATACAGATGGTGACAGTTCCCTCCTTTTCACTTCACCTGTTTCGGCTCCTCCCCGCAGTGGCTAGGTCAGGGCCCCTTGGTGTGTGCCCTGCCCATCCATACAGGGGCTCCCGGAACAGGGTCCCAGCACTACGTGGGACAGGGTTAGGCCTTTCGTGACAAATGTGCTGGGCAGCCATCCTGCACATTGGCGACACACAGACGAAGGCCTTTCCACTGCAGAAATGGCAGGGACCATGGTATGGAGTCCCGACAGACACGAAGGGATGTTTGCTGGCCCAAGGCTGATGGGGCGCTGAAACAAGACGCTTATATAATCTCTGGGCGACTTCAGAACAGGACACACATCCGAACGGGATGGTGCCTTCCACGAGGAGCCGAGAGAGAGGCCCTCTTGGTTCCCTGTTAACCACTGGGCTCTGTTAACAGCTGCTTTCCCCCTCTGGCTTGGAGTGACTCAGAAAGCTTTGTGGTGGTCACTTACACAATTTACAATGCGGTTTTCATCATTCTCATCTTTTAGTCACTTTTTCTCTCCCCAGCCAAGTTCCGTTAGTCACATTGTGAGCTAAGTTCTTTAAAGAAAAATCCAGATGTGTCAGATGACTTAAAAAAGAACATCTCACAGGAAGAAGGAAGATGGATATTATGCAGGTACCGTTGGCATAAGGAGCTGAAAACAAGCGAATGAAGGGTAGAGATTCAGTATGTAACAGATGATGGGTTTTCTCTGTCAGAAGATACCGTGATTCTCCACGTGGACAACTGGGGACAGTAGCAGATGCTCTGCGGATAATTCCATCTCTGACTGGGACCAACGGTACTGGAGGAAATGACAAAAACATCTGTAAGAAGTTAGAAAAAGTCAGCCTTGTTCTCTGCAAAGGGGGCTTCTTTGCTGACCTCCTGACATTTCAGATGGAAAGACAGGGAACAGGTTTTCCAAGGCTTTCTGGGGACAATGCCAGCATCAGCCTCAGGGGTTGTCAATACTGAGGGGACATCTTTGTTTTTAACTCGAGGACCACAAGGTCATTTGTTTTTGTTGTGGCTTTTCTCAGTGGTTCTTCAAACACACTGAGCTTCTCACAAAGGCCAGTTCCGGGGTCACCGTCACCATCTGGGCAGGGGTGAGGCTCAGACACCTGAATTCTTTTTTTTTTTCCAAAGTGTCCATGAAATTTTAATAAGTAAGTCCATTAGAATATCACTTCCTAAGAGTTTTCTAAAGGATAGAAACAGCACTGCTTGTGACAATGAATTCTAGAATCAAACTTATGTTAGGCTAAACAAAAACCTACCAAGTTTCTTCATTACAGGAATTCTCAGAGCCCTTAATATGCTCACGTGAATGGCTAAGCTTCCAAAGGAGACCATACTGTTTAGTGTTTTCCTTAATTTATTCTAGAAACATTTGCTTCACTGGAAAGAAAACCTGGCTGACATTCACAGGATGTATGTTGGAAACAGTGTTCTCTTGAAGTCAAGCTCTAGCGTTAGGAGCAGGTGTTTGGATCAGACACCTGAATTCTAAAACGCAGTGCCCTGGGCAGTGGCTTTAGCCCCACAGTTGGTGTTTGTGTGATGCGTTCTTTTGACCAAGACCTTTAACTTGGAGCAGTGAGGGACAGTGTTTTGCTCTCACCTGCCGGCTTTTCAGTTCCTGGGCCTGGAGAGGACAGGAAGAAAAGCACCACTGTATGCGACTGGCTCACAGATGCAGTAACTGGAGTTGACAGCACTGTGGCCCCCCCGGAGGCAGCCCAAGGACGGAGGGCAGGTGCCAGGGCTTGTGTGCAGAGCGCTCATTGGGCGTGCACTGTCCAGCAGAACATGAGCTGTGTCGGGCAGGGCTCCTGCGAGACAGAGAAAGAGAAAGGCCTTGCTGGGGACACAGGCTCCCGGACCAGCATCCTGTGTAATTCTTTTGGGAACAGCCTTAGATAAAGAGTAGGGTTTATGTAAGTGCCCATTAAGTGTTCTTCCCTCATATTTATATTGTAAATTGTAATCCAGTCACATTTCAAAACTCCAGGTAGACCAAGAAAACTAATGTTGTTTATGCCTCCGAGAAGACCAGTGGGATTAAGAAAAATAAAAGTGTGAAGATTTAATGAACTGCAGACCCGCAGCAGCAGACACTGCAGAGGCGACATCCCATATGGACAGCCCGCTGCGCCTTCCTGTGCGTCCTGACGCCCCATGGGTCTGTCTCATCAACAGGCTGCGGGGTCCATTCCTGCCCGAAGCCTGAGACTAAGTGAGGGCTTCCTATGAAAAGCTGTTTTCTTCTGCACACCAGAGAGCAGTCTTATTATGAAGCAGAGATGGTCCTATTGTCTTAGAAAGAACGGTGATTTTTTTCTGTTCGATTTGTGGGTATAATTACCTCTGGATGGCTTTGGTTGAGTGACCTGCGCTGAAGGAGAAATGGATTGATAGCAGCCACCCCTTCTGATGTGTGAGCCGATGACGTGTTTCCTCTGTGCGTCATGCAGTAAGTGGCTGTGATATGTGACCCTGCCACCCTGTCATCAGGTGACGCCCGAGTTGTGTACACGTTTAAGTGAGGTGGGCACAGCCTGGGGTCATGTTCTTGCGTCATCGTCTTCACAGATGAGAAATCAGGGCTCAGGGGTCACATCGTTTCTCTAAGGTCGGACAACCAGCTTATGGCTGATACCAGCCAGGCTTCTGCACAGTCCACGGCGCCTTTCCGCAGCGAGCGGAGCTCTCGTGTCCTGCCCTCTGGCCTCCGCGTTGGTGCTGGCTTTGACCTGACATCCGGTGGTCTCCCCCACCGTGTACGCTGAGCCAGGTACACACGTCCCACCTTCCACCCTCTCTCTGCTCGGCCCGCACTCCCGTCTCAGCCTGCTACCCGGCACCGATCCTCCCAGAGCTGGCTCCTCCTCCTTGTATCCTGGGTGTTGTTTTCTATCACAGTGAGATTCTAATTCATGACAAGTACTAGAAAGGTCACTTGGTCACGTGGGAATGTCCCCACAGCCGTGTGGAGGAGTGACCGCTGTCTGTCTTCCTGACGTGCAGCACGAGGAAGGATTTGTGGTGTAGCCGTGATTTCTTAGCATGAAGTCACCTCCTTGTGTCTTATTCTCCCTCCAGTGGGACGTTATTGGGAAAATGAGCCTCAATAAGTCGTCCTCATCTTCTCCCTTCCGTCTCTCTTCTTTCCTCCCAACTTTGCTTCCCTGAGTCCTGGATTGTGGCCAGGATTATTTATGGGTAGAAGGGGAATAGACCGGTAGCCGGTAGGTAAATTTTACCCTCCACTCTCGGGCTGTGGCTGGAAGATGGGGGAAGCTACAGCCCACAGATGCACGGTGAGGATGTGGTTCAACCGTTTGTGTGTCCACCCCACAAATCCAAGCACGCTCTCAAAACAGTACAACCTGGACTAAATCTGAGAAAAAAGAGGGGTCACTTGCTTCATAGCCTTCAGGCAAGGTTAAGTATGTCTCACGTCTGGGTGTTTCTTCCCACAAGGAGGAGACCCCCGGGGAGGAGAAGTGGGGAGCTGTATGAGGCAGGGGTGGGGGCTGGGGACGCGTCCTGGAACGAGTCGCAGGGCTGGGCGCCTTTCGCCCTCTGCGGGCGCTCACTACTTACCTAGCCAGCACAACGCTTTGCTTCACGGGCAGCTGTGGGTGGGTGGCAGAGTGGGACGTGGCAGCCGAGGGTGACCAAGACTGTGAGCCATCCTTGCCCAGGGTCCGAGCTGTTGGGAGCCTGGCATTGGGGTCACGTAGCGCTGGCTTTTAGCTCTAGCTTTGTGTTGAGCTGTGGGACAGCAGGCACTGGTCTTTGCCTTTCCAGGGCTTGGTCTCCTCGTCCACAGCCCACGGGTCACCTCCAGGTCCGTGGGAGTGCTGGGGGACCGCGTGAAGAGCCCGCAGCCCAGGCCACCCACTGTGGGCTCTCAGGGCCACCCTCGCATCCCTGGTCCTGCACCATCAGGCCGTCCAGGCTGCACTTGCTGGGGGCGGGGGCGGGGGCGGGGGCAGGTTCAAGGCTAGGGGCAAACTTCGAAGGAAGGAGCCAGCTAACTGCCTTGTATTTTATAGTTTCAAAAAATAGGAACAGACCACCGTCTTTGGACCAAATCCACAGACATGGAGTTTTCAGTGAATCACAACTCAGCTCCCTAGCTGCTGCCTTTCACGTGTAAATGGGCAGTGATGAGACAGGCAGGGCACGCTGCCCTCAGGCTTGACCCAGGCTTGGTGTTGGCAGCCCCAGAAGGTGATGGGCGTGTCCGGACGCAGGGCCAGATGGGAAGCGGGAGAGCACCTGGGCACAGGGCGGGGTCCTCATCAGGGGAGACTTTGTCCATCACCTGCTCAGCACAGACCCTCCCAGTCACACACGCCCGGCCTCCCGTTCCCAGGTGTTTCTGATTTAGGAGCCAAGGCCTAAGGGCTGAGATGCGAGCAATTGTGCTCATTGGTCCACAGGCAGAAGCGGAAATGGCTCTGGGACACCTTTCTGTCATTAACTCGCCAAAGGTTAAGGAGGAGAAACACACATGTGCAGGTGTGCGGAGGCGGCTGCTGGGTTCCAAGGCTCCGGGGCTGCCTCTCTGGGGAAGGCATCTCAGGGGGTCCCGCGCAGGAGCTCGGGCTCTCCGTGGCAGTGGCGATGTCAGACGTTTCTATTTCCGTGATGCCAAGCACACTTCCCGTCGTCCACACGCACGTCACACACGTGACAGGTTATTCCTGTGGAAGGTCGTGGCAGGCCCTGAAGAAGTTTGAACAAAACTATTATGCGACATGTAGGTCAACACTTAATACAGATATACTATCTATTTGATCCCATGAAAATATCCACAAAATTATGTTTGGACGCGCTTTAGAATGCTGGGTTCTTTTCCTGCTGTGACTGTTGTGTTTCTTTTCCCTCTCTTCCCCTCCCTCCTCCCAGACGGCGCAGACGGTCCTGGTGGTGGTGGTGGTTTTTGGGATCTCCTGGCTGCCGCACCACATCATCCACCTCTGGGCTGAGTTTGGCGTTTTCCCTCTGACGCCTGCCTCCTTCCTCTTCAGGATCACAGCCCACTGCCTGGCGTACAGCAACTCCTCGGTGAATCCCATAATATACGCATTTCTCTCCGAAAACTTCAGGAAAGCCTACAAGCAAGTGTTCAAGTGCCACCTGCGCCCTGAGTCACCGCTCAATGATACTAAAGAAAATAGAAGTCGCATGGACACCCCGCCATCAACCAATTGTACTCACGTGTGAAGGTGGACACCTCAGAGCCTCGCATCGTGGATTCCACACGCGTGGACCAGGCCGGACAAAGTACAGGGAGGAGTTAAGCAAGGCTGCACCTTGTTATCTTAGCAACAATTCATGCTATTTTAATTAGTTCATGCTGTGTTTCTAAGGTACTTTCATCCATTTAGGACACCCCTAGGTGCATGCAGATTGTTTTTAAATCCTATTTCAAAGAAAGGGAACACTGCATAGCTTCATACCTCTTGAGAAATGAAAGGTGAATAGAGTTCCACAGGTACGTTCAATTCTTCATAGAACGAGGACCTCTCAATATGGTCGGGAATATTTACGATCTACGTTTTGAAGCAGGTTTATTTATAAAAACATTTACGCTTTAGCACTTCAATTTTAAGAAACGTGGTGATACTGTAAGCGCCGTGTTTAAACATATATGATCGTGGCCACCCAGTGAACATGTTACCGGAATTTTACTTTTGTGGTCATTTACGTGGAGGCGCATCTATTCAGTGGAAATAGGACTTCGCTAAGTTTATTTGCACAGACACACCTGCTCCCAGGTGTGAACAGTGCGTGGGTTGCTGCAGGTGTGCTGCATCCGTCTGTGCTCACGAGTGCATCTCAGGAGGTCAGCCAAGGGTCATGGCACAGATCCCAGGGGTTAGCTGTGGGCGCTGCCACATAAGAAATATCCTGTGAACTCAGGCTTTGTAGAGTTGACTGGAAAAAAAGAAAAAAAAACAACAAGGGAAAAAGCCAAGTACAACTATTCTACCATAATAGTGGAAGCTGTGAATGAGCTTTTGAGAATGAAACTGGGCATTAGCTACATCTGGAATGGAACCTACTGCAAAAGACAGAATTAGGGAAACAATGCCAGGGAAGATGATGTGTGGGTCACAATGCCCACGGGGCCAAAGAATAGTCAGAATCAAGCCTTGTGAGTAGATATGCCTAGGAAATCCTATCTCGCACAAAGAATGCTTTTTTTGTTAATTTGTAATGATGTCTCATGAACATTTACCCCAAATATTACTCCCCCTGGAAATGTTAATTTGTAGCTAAAATGATCACCACTTGAGTTTCAAATGCAGTTTTCATGACAATTTCATATTTATCCATGTTTACAAGGAGACAATGGTATGAAAAGATTAAATTATCCTATACTAGAAAATAATTTTCTGACTGCCAGACTTGGGTATCTTTTAGGAGGATGCAAAAAGCAAGAGGATTTTTAGAAAATGATTTTGTATAACGTGCACGTGTGTCAAATCAGGACGCCATAGGAAATATCGAAATTTAGGCCAACAAACAAACTCATTGTAAGTCTTCTCACGTTGACTTCTGAAGCTCGCCAATTTATTTTCAGTGATGATGTTGCTGCAGCAAACACTGTTCACGTTTGCAATGGTTCTCTGGCTAGACTAGGAGAAAATTGTTAGACAGGACGGGAAATCAAGAGCTTTCATGTTTCATGTCTGATGGCCAGGGAAAGGAGCTGTGTATGCGTATGTGAGTATTTGAAAGAACGGTGGAAACCCTGCACGTGGAACATTTTCCACACTTTATGCAAACTCAGCGGCAGAAATGCGTTATTCTGACAACGAAACCTCATGTGCTTTATGGAACTAGAGGTGGTCATTGCAAAGCCAGGACAACTTCTGCGTGTGACTCTCCAGCTGCACAGAGTGGCCTCCTGGTTGCCTTTGGACTTGCATGGATGAGAATAACTTTCTGCACTGTGGCTGTTCCCTGTTCTGTTCTCCAATTCCTATGCTCAGAAATGGAAGTTTTAAAAAGAATGCTGCTGTCTTCTAAGATGCACTGCAAAGGCGCTTCCAGGATGCGCTGGCCCACGCCGCTCTGCTCTCTCACGGATGCTGGTGGCACAGTGAAGCGAGAGGCTCAGCACCGGAGCATAACTGACCTGCAAACCCATAGTGTTTAGTGTAAGCACAACTCGTGTCATGTCATAGTCAGATGGGTTGTCCTTTCTTCACATCGACGCTTTAATCAGAGTTCAGCTTGTTTCTCCTATAATGAGTTTTGATCCGATGATAACGTATGACCTGAGGCTCTAAACCTGTCAAGTTTTCTGAACACAGAGTCCCAGGACCTGTAGCCGACTCCGGTTACCCAGGAAGCATCGGGGCATGCCTGGCACACTGGGCAGCTGCTCTCCTGATAGCATATATAATTAGCGGGACCAACCCAGAAGCACCTTCCCTTCCTGCAGGAAGTGCAGAAGGCCTCCGGGCCACATACATCACCCTGCTGCAGCCCAGGCTCCGGGAGAAATACCACGTGTGCATTTGAAGCCAAGCTGCTTGAAAACCTGGCTTTTCAGTGAACTTGAAAGAAAATTGATGTCTTCTCCTCAGATTTGGCTGCCTAGGTGCCCGAGGCAGCTGTTATTTTTCTGGGCTTTTTGATTTCACGTGGGAGACAGGTTCTGGGATCTTTAAATGCTTGCTGTTTCATATGTATAAGCAACAATTTCCGTTTCCTGCTGCTGAATAGTGACATGGTGGACAAGGCTTTCTTGTCCTATTTTCCCAGCAGATTTCCTAAAAAGATTCCCTCTCTGCTGTTCTGACCTGTGTGTGCTCAGCAATGTGAGGACTGATGCCATTGTCTGAACATTTTAGGTAAACGTTTGCTGTTAATGAGATTGTTCTCCTGCGCACATCGGGAGGAAACCATCATTTCCTTCATTCTCTGCCTCCCCACCCCACCTTTGTGTTCTCTCCCAAGCGCCTCACTCCAGCAGTCCCCACCATAATATTCCTCCTCCTCCTCAGATAGAAGGAGCTAGAGCGGGAGGAGAGAAGATGACTGAGCTGCATGAGTCATCACGGCTAAGGCTTCTGTGACTCAACTCCGAATTGCGGTACCGCAGACAATTGCATTTGCTGGGTGCCTCAGATGCATTGAGACACCGCATTAATAATTCCGATATGTTAATTGAACCCCAAGGTCAGGTTTGTTCTGAGCGGGAGACAAGAACTCATCTAAGCACCGTCTCGTCTCCTTCCCCCAGAGAGCCACAGATTCCTGCGAGTTGCAAAGTGCTCACAGGTACCACAGAAGCAGCGCTACCCTGAGAAAAATGGCCTGTTGTGTAGCTCCGCCACGTTCCTGCTTAAAAGGATTTATTAAACCCATGAGCAGAAACCACACAGTCATGAAATGGGACACCTGTATTGATGTGGCCACTTTCTCTGCAAACTTATCATCTGAAACTTGTAAATTTTGGTCTACACTGGTTGCAAATATCACCCAGGGTTTACATTTGTAGGCTTTCTATTTAAGGTAATTCTACTTTTCTTGGCCTTTGAAAATGTGCTGCATATTAAGTTATTTGTCAAGTAGATGTTAGTGAGTTGTTTATTTAATGACTTGTTTGTTTGTAAAAAGCTATACATAGCAAGAGTGGGTGGCCTAACATGCTATTATAATAGATGCTTGTTGTCTTGGAAAGAATTACAAGATGGTCATTTTCTCTGATTCTAACTAATTCCGTGTTTTAATAATTCCTCTTTTAGAAGTGGAAAGGTTGAGCCTGAACAGTTTAGAACGCTTAAGGCTACTCCGGTGGTGGCTGAAACAGCGGCCAGCCTGCCTGCCGAGGGGGCCCTCCCTGTGCGTCCTAAGGGTCCGTCGGAGGGTTTTGTTTACTGTGAAGGTGCCAGAAGGTGGTTCCCTGGAGTGGCAGGTTCACTCACAGCCCGTGTCCCTTCGGTTGCCATGCTGGGTTCCTGAGCTCCGCACAGCTACCTGCGTGGTTTGACAAGACTTGCGAATGGCGAGCAGCCCCGGGCTGTGCTCTCAGCTGAGCGTCTCACTGCTTCTCCTGGGCGTGGGCCCCAGCCACCCACAGCCTTTGCGCACAAGCTTCTGGGCGCGGGGTCCAGTCCTGAGTGCAGTCGTGGTGACAGGGGTCACCTGGGGAGTGGGCAGCGGGCAGGCAGGCTGCTGAGTGCTGCTTACTTTTTTAGACACTGGGAATAAGCCGGACTTGCTCTCCGGCTGTTTCATGTTGGCTAAGTTCGCCATAGTCAGATGAGTGTACGAAGAGCACATCTTCTGGCTTAAGACGTTGATTCACTTTGGGGGTGGATCGCCTCATCGTCTTCGCTGGGGAACAGGCTCCCGGATACTCAGAGTACATTGTGTCGCTCCCAGTTCTCAGCAGTGGGAAACGTCAGCATGAAGACGGCCAGCTGCTCCAGGTTGGGGCTGGTGGGCACCCCGCCGCTGTGTGGGTGACCTTCCCGACCTGCTCCGGTCGCTAACCATGTCCACTCCTCTGAGGAGATCTGGGCAGGTAAATGGGCTGCTCTTCATCTGTCATCTGTCATGAGTGGAGGTGACATCTACGCGGGGACCCTGGGGTGCAGAGCAATGGCCAGAGAAGGAACCAGAATGACCACTTGTCGTCCCAAGTACTGCCAGTTGGATGGCGTCTCCTGCTAGAAGCAGAGGTCCAGGAAAGCAGAGGTAGCTGGGGACATGTTGATTTGCAGTGGAGACCTTCCTATCTTGTTAGAAAAAAAAAATCAGTGTAAACGTGTTGTTTTGGCGCCTTTGTCAGGGCCACCTCCCTTTGACTGTGAGAAGGTATTGTTTAAAAGCAAAAGCGTGCCGTTTTCCTCCTAAAGAGGATGTGGCTGGTACGTACCATGGCTGGGAAGTAACCTCCAAGGGGGCGGCTTGGGCTCAGGCAGCTGGAAGGAGCTGGTGGCATCTCAGGCATGTGCGTCCTCTTGGGTAACTGTCATTTTCTCAAGTGACATCTGCCTGAGTTAGATGCAGACTCACGCTGCCTTGTAGAAAGGCTAATGGATGTTAGGAAATTGAGGTTTGGTTTAATTCTGTTGGTGAGTTGCCCGTGGAAGAGCTGTCATTGGTATTTTCACATATCAAAGAAGAACGCTGAAAAGACGAATGAGCCTCAAAGCCAAGTGCACATGTCACTGCACTGGGGAGCCCCTGAGGGCCTGGTTCTCAAACTCACCGGCATGGCACTGCCTGAAGAACTGGCTCCGGCACCTCCAGAGTTTCTAACGCAGGAGGCCTTTCCAATAGGCTCTTCGGTGCCATTGATGCTTCTGGCCCAGCGATGGCAGGTTTGGGCGTGGAGCCTGGACACTTTTGAGGTCTCTAGGAGTCAGTTAGAACTGCTGCTGCTGAGGAGACAGCCCTTTACAAATCCAAACCTCTATGATTCTGTGAAAAAACTGCTTACAGGAGACCCAAATCATTCAGATTTTTATGTTTTACACTGATCAGGTTCATAATACATCTGTTCAACACCCTATTTCAATACCCTAGCTACAGAAATGTGGACGTTTTCAACAGCCTGAAGGACTTCGATAGCTCCATGTAAGGGGTTTCAGAGATCATCATCAATTTTTCCTTCCAAAAAATAAAATAAACATTTTGTGGGAAAAGCACCTCTACATTCACTGATTCCCCGAAAATGTACAGGGGTCAATATAATGTTCAAAATTGTCACATGTGGGTTTTTGAACTTGATGTTTCTGTTAATTGTGTGCATGTCTTTCTGTGTGGCTGCTAATTTTTAACTACGTTATTATCTCTAAGAGATAAATGTAACTTCCTCTGTGTTTAAAGATTTTCAATCAAATATCTCCTGATAACATAGTAGTGCAGATAAGGAAGACAATCTCTGTATATCGTGTTTTTATTTTACTAATGTGATTGCTCAGGCACAGCTGTGTGAGTAATGCTGAGCACGGGTCTCACACCAGACGCTGTTCTCTGGGGTTTGCAGCTCTAAAATTTGTCTCATCATCTGTGAAATTTTGCATGGATATCACTTAGCATGAATACCAGTAAACTTGCAAAGCCAAAGCCCAAAATTAACAGCTTCTATTAATCCACTTAGTAGCAAGTGCAGTCCTCATCGCTTCCCTCTGTGTTCTGCATGAAATCCAGCTGGGAGTTGGGATTTGGATCAACTTGCTTAAATTGAAAATAAAATGTGTACCTCCAAGTGCTCTTCTTTATGACTTTGTCATTTTCAAGCAAAGTATAATCGCACCATTTGTAAGGCATTTCCTGAAGTACAGGCACACGGCACAGGTTGTTGAATTAAGTTAGTTTCACTCTTACTGGGAGCCATCATGGAAAATATGGATGAATCACGTTGGTGGAAAATTGACACCTTTCTTTGCAAATGTTTTCCTCCTCCTCCACCTTCCTCTCTTTCTCCTTCTTCTTCCTCTTCTTCTTTTCCCTTTTCCGTACTTTTAAAGAGAATACATGTCTATTGCTTTTATAAAATGGCACAAAATTGCTACAAGAAATTAGAAAGTAAATGTTCATTCAACATTTCATTATCAGGAAAGAGCCATCATGAAAATCTTCTGAATATCACTCTAGCCAGCTCTCCAATGAATAGAAATAGGAGCAAAGTTCGGAATGAAGGGATGGAGGGAGGTGACTTCTTCCAAAAGAAGTTGATTTTGATTTTAAAAAGTGAAGTGAATTAGATAAATACCTACACGGCAAGAAGTCACAGGTTCCGTTCAGCAATGGGACCACCGTGAAAGCCCTATTGTTTGGGAATAGCTAATTCTCTTTTATATTGTGTTAAAATCACACAATCCAAACCTCCACTGAACTCAGTGTTATAAATTTACTTGATTCTGTAAGTTCTTGACAGGCTTTATGTTTTTTATTTTGATGACATTTCCCACAGCCATGCTTTTGTTATTTTTTAAATTAAAAAATCCATGCCTTTTTATCAACGCATAGCCACCACCAGTGGAGTGTCCCCTGAGCTCCAGGATCTTAAAAATCGATGTCATTCTGCAACTTTCCTGCTCCACACAGGCCACCCACTGGGCTTTCAGCTCCCTGGACCCGCGTCTCTCCTAAGCTGCTGTTGGCACTCTGTCAGACTATTGATGTGAGAAGTGAGCAAACCCACGGCTGGCCCTGCGAGCCGGCTGCTCAGGCCACAGCAAGCTGCGTCACCGCAGGGCATGTGAACTACTGGCTCATGATGGAGTCTGTAGCTCTCAAAGCATCGTCTGGGTCGCAGCTGCTCGGTGGAGTCAGTGTCCTGGCCGGGTCACAGGTGACAGCCACAGCCTTGGTGTGCTGTGGTGGGAACAGCAAGGACTAGGGACGCGCACTCTTCTGGCCATGCCCTGGTGAGCTTGGGCTTTCTTCTGTGCGAGTGGGACTACCTGTGCCCGTATCGTAGGGCTCTTACAGGGAACACGTGGCAGACACCAGGCATAGGACACGCCATTCCGTCAGTGTGAGGCTTGAGTGAGCTGGCGGGGGAAGGGGCATGTCACTCCCAGTCCTGTGAGTGGCAGGGGGAGTGACAGGCTATGTGGGCACACGTTCTCCTCACTGACACTGCAGCCATCCCGTCCACACCCCTCCTCAAAGCAGGGTCCTTTTGCCTTTTGTGATGGGGGTGAAATATGTGGAATGCTGATGGGTGGGTAGGTGTGGGCAGTGGGGTGATGGACGGTGCCCAAGACCACGCAGGACTTAGTTTTGTGGTGGCTGTACTTCCCATGGTCCGGGCTGCACTGCTCGGCACTTCCTTTATTTCAGAAAAAACAAATCAAATCATCCCATCGGGGACATGTGAAGATGGCGGCAGATCCAGAGATGTGTTCTAGGTCCCCTGGTGGCTGCGCTAGAATGTTTCTAACAAGCTGGCCTGAAGCACCACGTGCACTTGGCAGAGGGAGATGCCCATGGTGCCACTGGAGGCCGGAGGGCAAAAGAGACCAAAGGAAGTGGCCGTCACGTAGCTAATGCATGCCACTGTAGCAGAGGGTCCCCTGGTTTAAGGGGACAGAAGCCCAACTTAACCCCCTCAAACAGAGGACGATGGTGACAGTGATGATAACAATAATGACATAAAATACTGAAATACAGACATTTTACCATCAGGTGTCTGGGAAGCCCCGGGGGTGACAGGGCTCTAGGAACAGGTGGTGCCAGGGGTCGTCGGGCTCTGTCCCTTGCTCCCGCTTTCGGTTCGTTACGTTTCTCCATTTTGCTTCTTTCTCCAGGTAAGCTTTTAGTGTCTGTGAGGAGACCTATTGCCATCAGCCCTAGGCCTGTGCTTTCCAAAAATAACGAACAGCCACGGCAGAGGAAGTCCCGGAGAGGACGCGCGGAGGCTCCGTTTCTGCCTGGGCTACAGGGCTGTGCGCCCCGGCGACCCAGGGTCAGCACGCCCCAATTCCCCACTGGAAGCAGGGGGTGGGGAGGAGACGATTAGGAAGATTCTGATTTAAGGCATTTTGCTATGGTGATTTTCCCCTCTTGCTGGATAAATGGCCTTAAAAATAGAAGGCGCACCATTTTCTCGACACCCCACTAAGATATGTTCTTAAAAAACAATAAAGTAGACTTGGAACCCAAAAGGTCCCAGTCTAGTGGCTCATTAGCAGACATGCTGCCTTGCTAAACTAAAGTAAGGGCTGAAAGCAGCCCTCAGAAATACTTTATTCTCTGTATGAACACCCACTTTCATATACGTATAGACCATTTAAGGCAGACAAAAGCTTATCTCGGTATCAGCTTGAAGTGAGAAGCCCGTAACCATCTGCGAAGCCTCAGGGTTGGATGTGAGGTTCTTTCCGTCTCAGGTTTAGGGCATAGAAACCCTGATATACCAGGTCGTCTCTAAGACATCCAGCAACTTGTGTGCTGGCTGTTTGTGAAGTGTCAGGCACAATGTAGTTGCTATGGTTACAGTGATACATGAACACAGTGATGTCTTCCCTGCGGAGCCCATGGCGCAGCAGGAAGGCCACATACAGTGCAGTGAGTGTCACCAGGCGACACACAGGTCTGAGAACAGATGACACAGCCTGGTCTTTTTCCTAAGCAGAGTGAGCAGGTGCCAAGTGCAGGTGGGAGAACCTTCACGCGCAGAGGGACGCTAGGGCTACGGCCAGCAGGGGTGGACCGATGGCTCTGGAAGCAACAGGAAACCATCCGTCGCTCAGGACAGCATGACTGGGATGTTGAAAACACAAGGCAGCGTCACGTGAATCGGCTCTGTTGAGGACACGAGGCCAGTCGTGTAGGGTTTGTGGACCAGGGTGGGCACTCCAGGCTTCACTTCTCTTTATTTTTTGGTTTATTGGCTTTGAATGTAAAACATGCTTGATTTTTCTTTAAGAGGTAACGTTTGGTTTTAACTCCTCTCAACAGACTGACATCTTTGTCCCCACATCATGTTGGCTTCAGCTGCCAAAGACAGACACTTTTCATTTTGAGGGAAGAAAATCCAGTTGTGAGAGCAACTAACCCTAACATATACCATCTTGGTATTCTTGAGAGTTTATTTCATTTAGTCATAAGATGTAGTGATACAGCCGTATCTTCAAAAGTTATTGTCCTAACATTATTTTTTGAACGATGTACCACTAGTGACTCGTAAGGAAACATTCACTTCTTAAAATTTCCTGGTTGTGTGCAGTTGACGACGCTCATTTAAAAGATAGCTTTGCTGTGCCCTGTTCAACCAGATCACACCATTTGGAGGGTGAGGTTTGGGGCTTCCAGTGAAGAGAAGATTCTTGTCGTTCCACCTAGACAGGTGTGTGATGAATGCAGTGACTCTGTCTTCCCTGTGGTCTCAGTGCCACCCAATTCCAGCCCCTCACCCCTGGTGGGAACACCCCTCACTGTCTGGGTCCATGCTTGGCTTTATACATCACTTTGAATTCCAGGTCACTTTTCATATGTACTTGGCTCACTCCACCAACTCTCCAAATGTTTACTTGTTTGTACCATTTTCTCTTGGCCGCCTCCCTGAAGTTTTGGAGTGTTACAGAAAGAATTATCAAGAACAGACAGAAGCAAGTTGGAACATGACTAAAGCTTTGAACTTTGTCAATTTGCTGTAAGTTTGAAATCATTGGAGTATTCTAGTCTAACATGCACCCCTTACGCTGGCTGATATCTTCTTTGCTGCCATGTCCATGGGACGCCTCTGGTGTGGCTGTGCTCAAGAAAGCACTGCAGGTGCAGCCCTGTTCTTCTGCAAAAATGAAAAATAGACAAGAACACTATTTGCATGAAACAGAAACTTTAAAAAAAGCGCATCTCTTTTTTTCTTTGCATATGCACACACATTACAGTAAATACGCTTATTATACATGCGTCACAGAGACATATTTTTAAAGCACCAGTTGGAAAGGAATCATGCATGGATCATTTTTATGTTCCTCTTTGTGCTTTAATGCATTTTCCAAATTAAGTTAATAAATAATAACTTTCTAATTGGAAGAGCATCATATCGGATCCTTTTCAAAAACAGAAAGCTAATTTGGAAGCAGAATTTCATGTTGCTGTAGTGTTAGCTTACATTTCTATTTATAAATCTGCAAATACATTGCCTGCATCTGAAATTTAGAGAAATTTAAAGGATTATACACTAATGCTCCAAGCTTCCTCAGCATAAAGGTATCATTCTACCCTTCAATGTGCAAATAACAATAGCTTAAACCCTTCCTGCTGGACCAGGATATGCCCAGGTTCTTCCTCTCTTCTCCCTCCTTCCTTCCCTCCACTTCTGTCTTTCTGACAAGACTCCCGTCACAGACTAGTTCTGTGAATTTTCTTGAGACAGTCTCAGATGCTCCACACATCTGCTCTCGTTAGAGTGTGTCACCTCAGGCAGCTGATTGACATCGCCTGTCTTCCATCTTTGACTGGATCCCACCCACCCAGATGGTCACTCTGCTCCGGCTCTCCAGTCCGTGGTTCCCCAGACCAGGAAGGACAGACACACATGTGCACATAATGCCCCCGGGGCACACCATTCTCAGACCGCACTGCCTCGTGGGACGTGGGTGAAGACCAGACGGTTACAGAAAGAAACGCAGTGCGGACATGTGAAGCACATACGCTGGACCACACGCTGGAGGGTTACAGACTAGGCAGCCATAGCGTCTGTCTCCCTCGCCTCTGGCTCCAGTCTTGCTGAGAAAC